CTATCCACGACACTTGACGTGTGGGGATAGTCTCGGACACAAGTCACCCGTGCAGCCGAAACCGCATGGGGACCGAGTCGAGATGCACACTTCCCACTTGCGTGGGAGGCGGCAGTTGAGTGCATGAGGTGTGTGGGGTTGACGTCTGGTGAGGTGATGGTGTTAGGAGGTAGGGAGTGAGGGAATGTGTGGTGTGACCAGCGGTTGTCTACCGCAGGTCTTCGTGGATGCGCATGTGGCCGAGTAGACCCATGCGATGCGTGAAGGTGCGAGGGCAGTGTGGGCAGTGGAGGCGAGTGCGGTGGGTGTAGGTTGGTGCTCCAGGCACTGGTTCGTCAGTCTCTGTGCGATGGATTCGCAAGTGACCCACCAGGCCGATGCGTGAGGTGAAGGTGCGTGGACAATGTGGGCATGAGAGGTCAGCGGTGTCGGTGCCAGCTGTAGAGGAAGCGGTGGTGTTGGTGGTGGTGGTCGGCGCGTGTGACGGTGGAGCGAGGGTGCGTCTGGGCAGGGTGGATATGTTGGATGTCGTGGCTGTATCGGAATTGTGGTCAATTCCGCTCTCGTGGATGCGCATGTGGCCGAATAGACCCATGCGATGCCTGAAGGTGCGGGGGCAGTGTGGGCAGTGGAGGCGAGTGCGGTGAGTGTAGGTTGGTGCTCCAGGCACTGGTTCGCCAGTCTCTGTGCGATGGATTCGCAAGTGACCGACCAGGCCGATGCGTGAAGTGAAGGTGCGATCGCAGTGAGGGCAGATGTAGTCCTGCCCCTCACGTCTGATGATGGAGGTTGCAGGGGTTGTGCCGGTTGTTGTGTCAGGTTCGGCTGTGGTGAAGTCGTGGGCGACAGACGCCGAAGCGGCCGTCGTTGTGGCAATGATGGAGGAAGATGAGGAGGAAGGGGGGGAGTGGAGGGTGGTAAGGTCGGTGGCGTCGATGTCGGCTGGGGAGTGGTTAGTGGGTGCACAAGATGATGGATTGGGAGTTGGGCTTGGCGGGGTGGGTGTGTCAAGGCTGCGGTCAATTCCGCTCTCGTGGATGCGCATGTGGCCGAATAGACCCATGCGATGAGTGAAGGTGCGAGGGCATTGTGGGCAGTGGAGGCGAGTGCGGTGGGTGTAGGTTGGTGCTCCAGGCACTGGTTCGCCAGTCTCTGTGCGATGGATTCGCAAGTGACCGACCAGGCCGATGTGTGAGGTGAAGGTGCGGTCGCAGTGAGGGCAGGTGTGGTCCTGATCCTCATCAGTGGTATCGGGAGAGGTGGAGACCTCAAGCAATGAGCTAGCTCAACGGCTAGACAATCTTCCTATCCCTGCCGCCGACAACGCCGCCGCCGCCGCTGCCGAGAACACCTCCGTGGAAAACCGTTGGTGTCAACTTCGAGACAAGGTCCAGTCGACGGCGCTCGCCGTCCTCGGTCGCGCTCCCCGCCAACACCAGGACTGGTTCGACGACAACGACGCCGCCATCAGAAATCTGCTTGCTGAGAAGAACCGCCTCCACAAAGCCTCCGTAGGTCATCCCACTGAGGACAACAAAGCTGCCTTCTACCGCAGTCGCCGACAGCTTCAGCAACGACTGCGCGAGATGCAGGACGCCTGGACTGTTCGCAAAGCTGAGGAGATCCAAGGGTACGCGGACCGCAACGAATGGAAGAACTTCTTCTCCGCGATCAAAGCTGTCTACGGTCCGCCGACGAAGGGCACTGCTCCTCTCCTCAGCGCCGACGGCAGCACTCTCCTGACTGAAAAGACGCAAATTCTACAGCGATGGGCCGAGCACTTCCGAGGCGTCCTCAACCGCCCTTCCGTCATCTCCGACGC